ACAGTTTACGACGCGCCGTCGACAAAAATGTCTCTATTGCCACCGTTACCATTTTTAGCACCAAGTTCACACTTGTTTTATTGCTTTACCACTTGTAGCATTGGAACTAGCAGATTTACTTGAATTGCCATGTTTCCTAGTTCAGGGTTGGTTTTCGTAATTAACCAATTTAATAAACTCATCGCTGAATAAGTATATTTACAATCAGTTTGTAGGTTAGGTTCACGTTTTTCTAGCACGCTCATTCTACATACACCCAACCCATACAGAAACCAAAATGCAAACGCAGTGACTCAAGTGACTACGCCCACTGAGGTGCGGAGAGCCACCGACGGACAGACCTACGCGTACCGTGCGTCGCATCGAGCAGTAACAGAGACGGAAAAGGAATGCACGGTCCTCGACATCGAAAGGGATATAGGGCACTTGCAGCCCTACAGCGCATACAACTGCACAACGTATGCGGTATTGCGGTTGTCAGAAATTTACCATTAAAAACATTAAGCGCATCGAAAGACGCTTGTAATAAAAACTTTGAAATATATAAAGGGGGGCTGGATACAGAATTGGGGGGCTGTAGCCCCCCCTAAAAAGGCCTAGCTACGCCACTGATTTTGTGAATGAATTTCTTCGTCTCTTTAGTTTTATGTCAATTAATGAACTTGGTGGATAAATATATTAACTCTAACTCTCGGCGTGTTTTGGGTTATACCACATTTTTTTAGTAATTGGCATTGAATAAGTAATCATAGGTACTTATTCAATGTAATTGGTCAATGGAAGTCGTTGATGTAATGGTTATCCTACCCACAACGCAACACTGTCTGGTCTGTATGGATGCCTACGTATACGTATTCTCTTCCATTGATGCTGATGATTGATAATAAATCTTTATTATTCAATGATGCTATGTAAGTAAACACACTTTAGTAATGACGTCAAACCTTTGAATATAAAATATAGTATATTCAAAGGTCAAACTAAGGAAAATTCGAGGGAAAATCTTACTACAAAAATTTCGTAGGTTACATAAAATTACATAATAGTGTAAGTTAATTGGAATTTGGAAGAAAAACCTATTGGGAAACGTACTTTTTACATAAGGTTACAAATTGTATGAGAAATAGTTTAATTTCACGTAAATAACGAGGTAAATAAAAGGTAGACAACAGCAGTTGATTTAGATTTTAGATGTATAATTTTTACGTTTGTTACGATTGTGGATAACTAAGACGTATCACTGTGAAATACTCTACCACTTTCTTGAAATTGGAGTACACCCCCAGCAATAAACGTAGATATTGAGGAGCTTAAGTATGTCAAGTTTATTTGCAACGTAACGACAGGCTCTGTTGGCAAACTAAATACATAAGTTAATTTAAACGGTATAATTTGAAAGGCTCACTAAGAGACGCAGTAAAATTTCCTCTTCTCCTCGCATCCTATGAAAAGCTTTTATAGAGCTAGGTAATGTACCTATTAAATCTCGTAAGAGTTATGCCATTTGAATCAAAGGCACTAAACTACAGGTAACATAAAATAAAAATAAAATTATATCCCCAGGATTACTTCTTCTAATTTAGATTTATATGCTCCCATAACTGTCATATTTGCGCGGCATCCCTTGGAATACTTACTTTTAATTTTTCCGAACTTCTAAAATCCTCATGATTTGCCAATAAATTAAATAGCGTAATCTTACAGTCGGAATTAATATTGCATTGTGTGAAATCGTTTAGCCAGCGACCCAGATTGTCTTAAGGATTCGTAAAATTGAATAAGTCTGTGCGCGTAAAGATTTAATTTGAATTGGGTTGGGGTATTAATCTAAAAGCTTTTAAACAATTATTTTTGTTTGAGCACATTACATTAAAAACGCGGCCTCACAATCCTCTTTAACGCGATTTATGATAAAAATGTATAGTAATTTCATTTTGTGGTATGCTAACATTATGCCCATGATAAATTAAGATGTCACAATGTAAAATGTAAATGAATAAAAGGTTTGCCTTAATTTTCAACGTGGACGATTTTTATTGTGTGCAGGAAGTGAAAAGCGGAAGAAAACAAACGGTTTATTTTTCTTGTATTTTCGCTTCAAGGGTTATTCACTATTCTATAGCAACTTCGAAAATATGTATATTCAAAGATAGCATTTATGTGTAAGACGGGAATAATAACGATATAAAAAAGGTGTGATTATCATTATATTCAAAGAGTGTTGCTTAGGAGGTCAGTGTTAGGTGACTGACAAGTGTTAACTATTAATATTTAATTAAAAGTGGGAATGTTTTTTGGGAGTTGTCGGTCTCACAGTTCTTTTGTCGAACAAGTAGGAACACTTTTTTTATTGGAAGTGGCCTTATAGCAATTGTTGAAAATATCACTCTGTTCTGTATCAGCCCTAAGTTAGTAAATGAAGTTAGTTGATTCATATTTAGGTACGTATTGTAGGTACCTCTATTTCAATTTCGAAAACTTTTGCTTATCAATTACTAAATTTCAATTAAAAAGCAGGTGACTGCCACTAAACCCCGCCAAAGGCACGTCTAGCTAAAGTCCTTTCAGCGGTGTATCACAAACGATCAAAAATGAAAAGTAAGACTTCTTATTATAACTTTCTTTATTAAAAGTTTGGCTAAACGGAGATTCATAAGACCTATTGTGAAGAGATACTGAACGAGAATAAAGAAATTGCAAGAAATCGCACAACAAAGTTTTTTTTTCCTTTACAATTCAAGTGAAAAGAAACAAAAGATAAAAATTTAAAATGTGAACAACTTTAAAGATTGACATCACTACCACTGTTTAAATAAAGTATTTAAACAATGTCACTACATATTTTGGTAATAAATCGGCGGCTAAAAAAGAAATAATTTACTTATTAAGATAATTTCCATGTCCACTAGATGGGTACTCTAGAAACTAGTTTTGTTAATAAATTTACTCTCAGTACGGTATCAAATTTCACAAATATCGCATTCTTTGCAATCATCGGAGACATAACAGTATGTATAAAACTCTATGTAAAGCACAAAATCTGACACGCTCTTTATGCGCAACTATTTTCTATGTACCTGCAATCCGTGGGAACCAAAAAATTAACTTAACCCACATTAATCACCTTCCATAAAGTTGTAACCCCCTCATATTTCGTCTATTTAAAGTTGGTTCATATAAACTTAAATTTCCTCCCTTGAATTGAAGATACACTTACATTTACAGAGAAGCACAATTTAATTTGTCAACGACTATTCATCTTGTCGCGAGAGATACTAAAGGAGTTGAGGTGGAATTCATGATTCTTTTATTGGATTCGTCGGAATCCTATTTATTAGCCGAATAATTTCGGTCTACGGCAGATTCCAATGCGTGCACTTTTAAATAAAATACCCTTCTGATAAATTCGGTTCGGGGATCGTAATAAGCGAGATCGAAACAATAGTAGGTATTCCCTGAATTTGTAGGAGGAACGCGATTTTTCATTAAGTACCTACTGTGTGTTTTACGTCAGTAAAGCTAAAGGGGAATTTTTAATAATTGTAAAACGAGCGAACAATCTGACTAAAAACTAATTCTCAGAACGCGAAGGTGAAATAAACCACGTTTGATGATAAATGACATAAAAGCACGAAACCTCAAGATGCTTCAATTTATTTTCCTCTTAAGATGTCTTAATAGCTTTTCCTTTCTTTTTTCGCTTTCTTTAATAAATTAAGTCGCACTTGTATGGAAGTTCAAAGAAAGGTTTGAAGAGATTAGGTACAAAAATTAATTGTGAAACACAATGTATGAAACGCTGGGAGATCAAACGTGGAAGAGGATCAAACAGACTTTTTTACCGACTTATCCGACATCGACGATCCCTTTCAATGTATTGTTTTGCAATTAAATTACTCCGTAACCTAGCAACTATAATAATGATTTTCAATTTCAAACCTATAAGCAATGGAGTCTAAAATGGAGTAAATGTTTAGGTTCACTGTTTAGTTTGAGTGTATAGGGTTAATTTATTTAATAATACTGACAATATTTCAGATTTTTTGTTTAGATTTTATCGTGGATGATTTCTTCAATACTTTGTCAAACGGAATGACCTGCGATTTTAGATAAAGGTTTTGGATAAAAGTTTTATTTAATTTTAGTTGTAGTTGTACTTTTGCTGTAAAAATTGTTCAATAATTTAGTAGATTTTAATTGTGTGTTGTAATTTACGACGAAGAAGTTAAGAAAAACGTGGGTAAAGGAATTATTTCGGCTATACGAGAATTATTTGACAGATTTTTGATAAGAAGACTTTGTCAAAGTAAAATTTAATTTACTTAGATATGCTAGAGAATATGTGCAAAGTTTGTTGTTCAATTACAAACTGTATTTATTTATTTCTATACTTTATGAATGACCGCTAGATAGCGTGAACATTCAGTTTTTGATGTCTTTAGATTAGAGCGCAGGTATGACATGTAAATAGATATAATAAATTTGACTTTGGTTGTTGATCGTTAGACGTTCTGTTTGTGTTTGAATTTCTTAGTTAATATCGCTACAAATTACAGGCTACCGCTACGAAACATTTGTAGATAAACAAGTGCATTTCGTCGGTCCTTACCGAATATGGACGGAGACGGTCAGGACTTAAAAATGTTAGCGCGCCGATGATGTGAGCGGTGGTCTCGCGCCATTTGACTTAGCGTACATCACAGTCCGTTGCGTATAAATGTCAAATACGCATTTTTCCGGCAGTCAGCTGGTATTTCGAAGTCTTGGTTTCTCAATTACTTAAGAAGAAGTGACACAGAATAGTTTTTTTCGATTGCTGTCTAAAGTTAGTGTTCACGGATTTTAGTTAAAAATTATACAAGAGGAGGTGTTTCGACAATTTTAAAGTTTGTACCCTAGCTGCCATTTCAACATTGTCAATCGTTATAGAACCATTACTGGTGATTTAAAAAAAAAGAAGCGGGTTTGTGAACACGGTTGTACTGTAAGAAAACATCAAATTGATAACGTTGGAATTTTATTTGTGAAACATCCTGTACTATGTTTTGTAAAATCCCCTCGTTAGATGTCGCCTGTTGTCGTCCCCATCCTTTATTTGCAATCCCTTCTACATCTCCCACCTTGTTGTGTGTCCTATAAAAGGTGTTTGTAAAGTACCAGAGAGCACTTCCGATTAATTCCGTTCCATGTTCAAATCATTCCCCGAACCAGAACCCGACCCGATTCCTGCCCGTTTCGAAAACCTGAGATCCGTTTTAAGTTTATTTTATTTTCCGTTTTAATTCCACCAGAGCTTTTCGTTTTAGTTTCATTATTTTCCTAGACCTATTAATTTGATAATTACTTTTAGTTTTGCCGTTTTACTCACCTGTTCCCGGGAAGATAATCCTGGTAGGGTAAATCCCTGCGGGCTTATAAAACCGGACACAGAACTAGTTCTTTGTATTCTTGCCTTCGGTCGGTCGACCGGACTGGAATCCAAAGAGCTTCCCTTCCGTGGTTGCCGTCTGATTCCACCGACTTTGAGTAGAGGTTGTTGGAACCGGGTGGAAGTTCCTCTGTAAGGGCCGTCGCCAGGTAAATCCTTGCCGACCTTATTCGAGAGCTATTACCTCCTGTTCAAGTCATCTCAGGTCGGGTTATTGCTTTGCTGAAAAGCACCTGAAATATAACTGGTGGAGAAAACTTCCTATACTTCCTTTACCTGATATCTCCTCGAGCCTTGATAAGCATCCGGGCTTAGGTGGTAATAACTCTTTATCATTACAGCGAACTAGTAGCACTTGTCACATCCACCGCACGTTTCCAGTTGGGGAAAAGAAAACGCCGTACCAGACCCCAAGGTCAACCGGTGATTTGACAGACGGTGGAGGTGTCTCCGTACCCAACATCGGGATTTGAATATTTGAATTTTTTATTTATTTTATTTTATTAATTAAACAATTTCAATCAATACGAATTTCGATCTCTGGCCAGCCGGCTGGAGCTACCTGAAGGCAGAACCCCGTTCTGTTTACAGTACCATTATGTGAAAAGTGATTTTTTGTCGTTTATCGCATCTGCACACTTATTTTTTCTGTATTCGACCGTTTGTAACGAGGTAAAATGTTTCAATGAAGCTCTGCCTTCAGAATATTTGTTTGTTCTGTAAAAATGTTTATTTTAATTTTATATATGTCACTGTGTTACTACAATGCGTGTGTGATAATGATGATTTCTTTTGTATGCGATCACAGAAAATGATGTGTCAATTTGAATTCCATTAAAAGTAAAGGAAATCAAGATAAAATCTGTTTTGTCGTTCAATGAAATTTAATAGTGTTGTTTCATTAGAATTACGGATTTCCGGTACTTCAAGATTTTGATAAATCAGTGTTGAGATTTTGCAGCGTTTCAGAATCCAACTGGACCTTAAGATTCAACTTTCTTCAGTTATTGAAAATAAAGTTTATAGGAAGATGAGGGCTTCTAATGAAAGGCCTCACCGAAAGAAATTGGTTTCTACAAACTATAACCTTTCTCCGTGACTCTTTTTGGCGATCAGAAGGGGGGGGGTTAAAAAATCGGCATGATGGTATGGTATGATAATATTCTAATTAAAGGTGTCAGCCAAAAGAACTTCGCTCCTACTCTTGTTAAAATTTGGAATAGAATGGGGGGGGGGGGGAGCGGGGCACTTAACCCTGATTCTACTCTACTGAAAGGTCACAACGAAAGGAATTCATCCTACCAACTACCAACCACCAACCACATTCCTCCTCCTCAACCCCTTATCGTGATGTGTTATAAATACTCATATTGGAGTATCAGTGTCGGAGGATGGCAAAGGGTAGAGCGTCTGGAAAAAACGTCCATGCAAATGGATCACGGGATTGGCGAGTTGGAAAAGAATATCTCGAAAAAGAAGTGTCGGAAAAGGGTACTTATATAGGGCAAGTGGACCGTCTGGACCAGACACATATTAAATGCCCTTTGAGGAAAATTACCTACTTAAAAGCTGAAGAAATTTATAACCTTTTAATGGGGGTTGTAAGGATGTGCCGGTGCTCAAGATAAGCGGGAACTGGGTCTGGTGGGTTGGGGTTCTCCGGGGTTTTAATTTGGGCGCCAACCTGCCTGATGTCTGCTTAGTGATTACCCAATCGGCAGGTAAATCGGGCAAGACAATAAAACATCAACCCTACAACTAGCATGAGAGATAAGTATACTGCAGTTAATAGACAACGGTAAGTATTTACAGTAATTATTTGGTTAATTATAATTCTTTATAGGTACCTTTAGCGAATGATCATTCACTCTCACCGAAATTATAAATATCACAGTGATAACATCACACATATAAATAAGATTCCTTTTTTTTCTACTTGCAGGATGGACGCCGATTTGTAATTAAAATTATCATGTCTAACAATAACGTAAGTGATATGGATTGTGGAAAAGTATTGGCTTATCTGTTTTGATGTTTCCAGGTACGCTAAACGGGAATGGCTGACCTCCTCCGATAAGGCGCTGCAAGGCCTTTATGCGAAACTGATATGGCTGATACAACTTGCAATTACCCTCCTTAATTACGCTTTTTGGAAATGATGACGGTAGCTTGCAGGATGAAACCCCTGGACTGCATGAATGGGTTGATAAGAAGATCAAACTGTTAAAGCCCTACATTTAAGAAAATTAATATTACGTTTACTTCATGGGCAATACATACTTTAGTTTTTGGGCGGCTCTAATAGATAATTTAGGATGCTCCTAATTACGATTCTTATTTACAAGTATATTTAATTTGACGACTTTGATCTTTTATAGGCTGCAAAGAATAAATTAAATATTAGAAGAATGATCACTAATTACTTACGATTACAATATCTACGCCATACAGAATTTGGGTATTAATATTAATCTGTAATAATTTGGCTTCAATGTTTTTGTTTACATTTTATTTAAACGTAGAAGTTCTGGGAATTTTGGGTCTTGATGTTATCAAATTTAAATGCTTATTTTAATTGACCTAAGAACGTGCGTTGCTAGAATAGTTTTGTTTGTCTCTTTGTTTTCAACGGTGTATGATTGGTTGTTGTAATTTGTATTAGCGTAAGAAGGGATTCGCCTTAAATAGGACGTAAACAAGAAAAGCGTCACTTTTAGCCACAGTTTACGCAGAACCACGTTTAATTGAAATTTTTAATTCGGCTTTTTGCCATGTTGAATTACGGCCATTTTATCATTCATTTGAAGCCACAGCCAGCATCGAAAGTTTTCGTTCAATGTGCGATTGAAGATTGAAGAAGTATCGTTTGTAAAGCCGGAAGCCGAATTCGCGGCTACTTATTTTTCTACGTTTGTTCGTGCATAGTATACAACGCCAAAGTATTTTTTTTCTTACCGGCTAGAGGATTGTCGTAAAGTTTTGGTGTTTGCATGAAGAGGTGTTTGTCGGCGCCCCCATAGGTGAGTTTTCAACATGACTAAGTTTTGAAGTTTTTTTCTGAACGTCCTTGTTTACCCAAAGAGAAGATGCTGCGATTACCCGATGTCGTTAGTGTAAAGTGTCATTTGTGTTGATTGAAAATTGTAATTCTAGTGTACTGTGTACGGATACCTTTTGATTGGATATTACAATTCCCGAACAAGTAATGTAAGTAGTT